CACTTTATTTTCGCTTTCTGGCCCACGTGTGATAACGTCCTAAGACAACCCTATCATGGGGTTTTCTTGGCAAGATTGGTTCAGAGGAAGTTTGCCATAGCCTTCCCCTGAGGTTGAGAGAGTGTAACTTGCCCAAGGGATTTATGGCTGAGCAGGGAATTGAACCCTGGTCTCCACAGTCATAGTCCAACACTCAAACCACTATGCCATACACTGGAGGTATGGTTGGTTATAACAAGACTGCGCCCTGAACAACATACCTTCAAATGAGAAATCCCAGGATTCCACAGGGTGGAGCCATGAAAGTTAAAGTGCTGTCAAACTGCATTGATTTATGCAGTGTGGCAGTGGCAGGATGACCAGATGTCCTAACCACAAAGCAAGACAAGGCCCGTAAAAAGTAGGACATTAAAGAAAAATGTAGGAATTACAAAATGAGAGGTTAAAAACTCTCATATAAATATAAATCCATGCTTCTTAGCCATGCTCAAAATGGAGGACATTTTGCTCTCTTTGCTCTATATTCTGGATTTTATTTGGTTTTGTACAGCGCCGTGTACATCCACGGCACTTAATAAATAAAGCTAATAATAATAATAATAATAATAACATTTTGAAATTCTTCCTGGACAGAAGGTTGAAATGTAGGACATGTCCTGGAAAAGGAGAATGTCCAGTCATCTTGGGCAGCAGCCACAGTCCCATCTCCAACAACTGAAATAAAACTGAAACACACGGCACAGACAATCCCAATTAATTATCTGTTGTCCCACTTTTTTCAGCTACTTTTAAAATGTCCCCGTTTTCCTGTCCTCCTGCCACTTTTCCTTTGGCCTCCATTTACTTCAGTTGCTACAAAATGAGTTTAAAGAACAAAATATGTTTGTACTTTGTTAATTCAGCAAAGAGGGAGAAGAGAGGATGGAGGGGGGATCTTGTCCTTCCCTGTGGACTCAGGCAAAAGCAAACTGTTGCAGTCTCTGCTAGCCTGTCTATTCTTCCAAATTAATATCCTCTGCCATCAGGACCCCACTCTGATGTTGCCTGGCCACATGTGTCTTGGTTTTCATCTATGAAATGTTGGAGGATGTGACTGTTAGAACACAACTAGATGTTACAAGGAAAACAGCAGATTCCTAACCCTTTATTTATAAGAACATAATATCCAATGTGGAGTGGAAGAGAAATGGCCAGGATAAAGTAGATTTGTCTGGTGGTTTGTGCTTATTTGTTTGTTTGCTTGCTTGGCATTTATTAGTCCATGATATTTGTTTAACTGAGGTAAAAAAAGAAAAAGAAAATAATATCCTCCTTTTGAGTATTGAAACAAACTAGATTGGCTTTCAGTTTTATTTCAGTTGTTGGAGATGGGAATGTGGCTGCTGCCCAAGATGACTGGGCATTCTCTTCTTCCAGGACATGTCCTACGTTTCAACCTTCTGTCCAGGAAGAATTTCAAAATGTCCTCCATTTTGAGTATGGCTAAGAAGCATGGATTTATATTTATATGAGAGTTTTTACCTCTCATTTTGTAATTCCTACATTTTTCTTTAATGTCCTACGTTTTACAGGGCCTTGTCCTCCTTTGCGGTTAGGACATCTGGTCATCCTGCCGCTGCCACACTGCATAAATCAATGCAGTTTGACAGCACTTTAACTTTCATGGCTCCAACCTGTGGAATCCTGGGATTTCTCATTTGTTGCGACACCAGAGCTCTCTGACAGAGAAAGCTAAATATCCCACAAACTTACAAATCCCATAATTGCATAGCACTGAGCCATGGCAGTTACAAGTGGTGTCAAACTGCATTAATCCTGCAGTATAGATGCAATCTGTGTCCTCATCTGAGGGTAGCATGTAAAAGAAACAGCTTGGTTCTTCAACAGATAGGAATGGCAGCGCTTCTCAGAGAGAGATGCTAGTCTGGTATTGTTGCTCCCCTGGCTCCTGTGCCATCCCTGGCATCTGCCATCTGAGGCAATTGCTTCACTGCCTAATGGCAGACCCAGTCTTAAGTATAAATCTGAAGCACATATATAACTTGTATATTCACAACACATACACACACACACAACTGTGTTCCACTACAGCAGGGGTAGGCAACCTTTTTGAGCCCAGGGCCAGGTTGCTGTCCCTCAGACAACTGGGGGGGGGGGGCGAAGCACCATAAATAAATAAATAAATAGATAGATAGATAAATAAATAAATAAAATTTAAAAAATATGCATGCACACTCTCTCAGCCCCAGAAAAACCATGGCAAAACCCCTGTGGAGATTTTGCCAAGAAAACCCCAAGAACAAGTAATAACAACAATAATCAATATCATCATGGCCTGCAGTGGTGGGGGGGGCAGGGGGCGGGGGCAGCAGCAGGACTGGCCTGGGGCCGGTCCAAAGGCCTTGCGGGGCCGCATCCGGCCCCCCGGGCCTTAGGTTGCCTACCCCTGCACTACAGGATCCACTGACATCCTCCCTGATTCCTCAAAATATGAGGGAGCCAGAATCGTATTTTTGTTTGCCAGCCTTGCACAGAGCTCGAAAAATTATATATAAAACCTCAAAGCATCCTGAGTGCAGGGCCCATTTTTGAATGCACAATTATGAGGGTATCTTAAAAAGCAACAGTTACATCATTGATTACAGAACATTCCATATATTTTTTGTGGGTTTTTTCGGGCTGTGTGGCCATGTTCTGAAAGAGTTTCTTTCTGATGTTTCGCCAGCATCTGTGGCTAGCATCTTCAGAGAAGTTTCTCTGAAGATGCTAGCCACAGATGCTGGCGAAACATCAGAAAGAAACTCTTTCAGAACATGGCCACACAGCCCGAAAAAACCCACAAAAAAAAAAACTATGGATGCCGGCCATGAAAGCCTACGAATTCCATATATTGTTTCTGCAGTCCTTATCAATTACCTTGCCTAGTGAGTTCATAGTCAAAATGGAATTTGAATCAGGAATTGCTTGGTTTGCAGAGCATATACTCTGTTGTATTTATGTGACTTCATACACTTTTCAGGACTGACCACTGTTTTCAGCACTGAAAACAGGTTTGGGGCTCTGAACCTTGAGAAATATGAAGTAACACCTAACCGTAGTCCTAGGTCTGCCTGTTTATTAGGATCAGGCGAGCAATAAGATGTGATTAGAGGCTACCCCATAGGCACCACGCTGTTGTCTCTTCTTGTCCAGATGGCTTGGTACACACAAAAAAGGGATGAAACCACATGGTCAGGCAGCAACAGAAAGCGCCCTGGAGGGGAGCCTGGGGAGACCCAGCATCTTGTTCAACTCCACTCATGACAATTCCCCTTTTGTTCTCCTAGCGCCTCTGCAGCCAAATTCCCTTGGCCTTTTGAAAGACAGATGGGGCAGCACTGGGAAGGTCTTGGCTGGCCAGGTCTGAGCTTTCACTTATTAACTTCATTGCATTATCTTGCTCATTTGCTTGGATTCAGCTCTGTTTATTCTTTGACCATGCCATCCAGACCCTTCCTGTGGCTGAACTCCCAAGAAATTAATACACAGAATCAGTAGACTCAATTGACAAAGGAAAAAGAATGGGATATTGAAGGCAAGATGTTTGATATATATATATATTCAGGGATAACTGTGTTGGCCATGCAAGAAAATACAACAAAATGGTTTTCTAAAGAACTTTCACCTGAGCTAAGACTTAAAATGAGAAGAGGGAGAAACCATCAAAGAGAAATTCAAATGAAAAGCCAGCATGTGTAGGGAGAAAGTCAGAAAAGCTACAGCACAGAATGAGCTTAGGCTTTCTAGGGAGGTTAAAAACAATTAAAAGGATGTGTTTGGTTACGTCCATAGCAAAAAGGGGAAGGGGGAAAGACAATAGTAAGGCCATCAAACGGAGAAGATGATGAAATGATAAAAGGGGGCAGAAAAAAGGCAAAACTACTCAATACCTTCT